ATATATATATACATACATATATACATACACACATGCATATATATATATACATACACACATATATACATACATACAGATATACATACATACATATATATATACACATACAGATATACATACATACAGATATACATACATACATATATATATATACATACATATATACATATATATATATACATACATATATACATACATATATACATACATACATATATATATATATATACACACATATATACATACATATATATATATACATACATATATATATATATACACACATACATACATACATACATATATATATATATACACACATACATACATACATATATACACACATACATACATACATATATATATACACACATACATACATACATATATATATATATACACACATACATACATACATATATACATACATACATACATATATACATACATACATACATACATATATACATACATACATATACATACATACATACATATATACATACATATACATACATACATACATACATATACATACATACACACATATACATACATACATACATACATACATATACATACATACATACATACATACACACATACATACATACATAAGGTCAAAAAACAAAAAAAATTAAAGAAAATCAAAAAGGTGTTTGACCCAGCCGTACCTTGGCGAAGAGTGTTTTTCCAGTTCCAGGGGGTCCATACATCAGGATGTTTCTGTACAAGCCGTTGTTCTGCCGGGTGTTGCGAGTGGCGATGGCAACGTCCCTCACACGTCCCTCCAGAGCTGCCTTTGGGACCCACAGCACAACGACAGCACTCAGCAGTTTTTCACAAAAGTCATGAAAAGAGTACACGGATGGAAGATATCCATACAAAAGCCAAGAAGAGTAAATGACTCACGCTGAGCACCACACCCTCCAAGGCGTCCTGTGGCCTGCTTCTCAGACGCTTGGTAGTCTAGAAATGACGAGAACAGAGGGAATTGTATGGTGACAAATCGTTTAACAGTTAGTCACAGGAATTATATCTGAAATCATAGAAATGGAATTTCTAATTACCATTTAACACTTCATTACTTATGAGTGACTCTTCCGCTCTGCTTTAGACAATTTCAAATGTTCCGTTTCTTGTCTGTTATACAGATTTTGTGGTGAACATGTGAGAAATAACCAAAAGCAGTCCAGAAAACAACTTACATCATTCAGCACACATCCGACCCCACCGTTGTATCTTGGTGAATGTTCTCATTCATTTTACACACTCCATTCGTTCACTTCCAAGTTTTTGCCATTTTGGCGTTACGCTCTAAAGTCGTCCCACATTCAGCTCATTGGGCGGGATTAGCTGGATGCACGGCAGACGACACATGAACAAACAAATGCATTGAAACAATTTGTTGACAGACAATGAATTTCCCATTCTTGTGTAGATGACCACATCCACACAATGAACGGTAAAAACGGGAGAATTAGGATGTCGTTTCACCTTGATTGGGTGTTTGATGGCCTCAATGACGGTTATCCTGGAGGTCTCTCGGACCAGTGAGGGTTTGCCCAGACGAGCCTCTATGAATCGCCCTGCCACTGCTGTGGCGTTCCTGGCCGAATACACGCCTGCCGCCAACAGGGTCAACCCAGCGACCTGTGAGGGTGGGGGGGGGGGGACAGACAAGAAGGCAAACACACATCTTCAAACGCGCTGTACAGCATACCAAACATGAATGCCGCTGCTTCCCATAATCCTCTGCAGTCCTCCTGTGGTGAAAATGTGACAAAGCGTGACAGGTCTGACATGGATTTACCGTGGCTGTGAGTTTGTCATAGTCAGAGACGAAGGCCCTGAATCCCTCCCCGAACACCGCTCCCGCCGTCCTGCCAGGAACAAAAATGCAATTATCACACCGACTGCCTCCACTGTGGCAGCCGCACTCGCCGCGCCGCCCTCTGGGATTTCACTCGCAGCTGAGAGAGACACTGGGAGATAACATGCCAGTTACTCGAGAGGATTAAGGAAAGTGGGAAGTAGTTTTGCCCTCACTTTATAGATTCCAGGACAGTTTGTCTGTGTTCGGCAGCTTTCAGGCGGATCTGTTCCCGGATCAGGTCGGCGTTCTCTCTCTCCACCTGGGCGCGGGCTTTGGCCTCCGCTTCCACGCGAATCAGGTCATTCTTACGTCTCAGCTCCATTTCATGTTCAATGGTAGCTGGGAGCAAAAGAGGCAGATATTATTAACTGCACGCTTGGTATGACCACTTCTGACAGGGCTGAGAATTTGACCTACTTTAAATCAGTGTGGTTTCACTCAACACTGTGCCACAACTAGATCAAACTGATTTATAAGACACAGCTCCTTTGAACTACTTTTAATATGGAAAACCTTTGCATTTTGCACAGAAGGGGCTGTTAATATAGAATTCCCATCAGTCTTATAGTGGCCTATATCTGACTTCAAAGTAGTAAATAATGGCATTTTCTAACTTGGGACATAAATGTTTCCATGAAAATGCAAACAAATCTGACTTATTGACAATTATTGTTGTTGACTGTTGAGAGATTATATATATATATATATATATATATGCCTTTTCCTTGTTTATTATTCTGTTCTATTGATGTGTCCGTCTACTCCAGTTGTTTTATTTCTGAGCGCAATTTTAAACTCTGTAAGAGAGCGTTTTTTGGTCAGTCAACCCTACCATGCATGTAGGGTTGAAGATAAAAATTAAAGTAATGAATTTATTGCCACAGGGTGGCGGAGGAACCAGCTGTAAACAACGACACCAAAATATCATCATATAATTATGTTATTTAGAGAATGTGTGCAGTCGCTACTCCGATATTTACTCTTTTTTTAAGTTTGGTCTGGGACTCGACCAACTCATCCGTCTCCTTAGCAGCTAAATGCTCAACTGTTACCACCAGCTAGTCACTGAGTTAATCTGTCTGCTGTTTAGAGCTGTCCAGTATTGTCCAGTTAGTTGTATTAGAGCTGCCTTCTGCGGCTGGTAATGATGAGAGCGGTGAGAGTCAACCAAAACAGTAACGTTGTGGACTGAAAAAAAGAAAACAATGAGCTAACAAAAGGAGCCTAAAAGCTCTGCAGAGTTGAGGGACACTGCACAGTCAGGAGATAATTCTCTGTGGGTGCTTCACTGGGATCTCAAATGAAAAAAGAACTCTTTGACTCAATGCAAATCTATCACATTAGATACTAGAAGAACATTTATATTTTGTGTCTTCAAACGCCACCGGGTTGTGTAGTTTCTCCCAACACAGAGTACAGGCCCAAGGGAGTCTTTAGTGAGTCACAAATCTCACAGTGAGCCATGTAATCTCTGAGTCATCAGTAATGACCAACAACCTTATTGACCCCCTGCGGACATATTATGGTCATTCTCTGCTTCGGAGCAGTACAAATCCCCCTTATTGCATCTGTAAGTAGGCTAATAGAGGAGGTTTTTTTTTTACATGGCATTGTGATGAATAACCAAAGCGTGCATTTGGTTTTGTCTTTTACATTTTCTCATGGCCTCTTGCTTCACAACTGATTCCTCTTGTTTGCGAAGGTTCTCCTCGTTGAGAAATTGCTGTGGATTCAAACAAAAAAAAAAAACGTATGATAAATGCTCTGTTCAGGTGTTCATTTCAAGTTTTCCTTTAAAAAAAAAATAAATAAAAAATAAAAAATTTTTAAAAAATAAAATAAAAAAAAGTCTTACCTGTTGCCTGAGCTGATCATCGTACCTCTGTCTGGCAAGTTTGTCTTGATATTGTGCCCTCTGGAGGCGATACACAAAATAATGAGTTACCTTCGCAGGTAAACTCTCGTAGGCGGAACATGTGTTTTACTATCAGAAGAGTGTGTGTGTGTGTGTGTGTAAAGTGTTTATTTCCATACTGCATGGTTTTGCTTTGTCTCCTCTGCCAGTGTTTTGCGTCTCTCCTCGCCCTGCAGGTGGATCTGCTCGCCCTTCAGCTGCTCCACAGCGGCTTCATATTCCTGTTGGGAGAGTTTGGTTCGTGCAACGCTTACTGTGACATCATCACGGTTTAACAATTACCAATACTACTCATCACACAATCACATTTCCAAAAACCTACCTTCACTTTACTCTGATGCTCCAGCTGAACAGTCTGCTCCTGCATACGAGCCAGTTCCAACGCATCTTTGGCATGTCCTGTTCAAATACAAGATAAAGAAATAAAAACAGTGAGTGGTGCTGCTTTATTCATTCATTTAAATCTCAGCCACGAGACGATATAGTTACACTTTTGGGTATAACATGCTTTAAACTTTGCTTGGCTAACACTGGTTTCAAAAAAACAAAAAAACACCCCTCCCCCCCATACAATGAACAGCAGTATGTTCATCTGCACATACCGACATTAAGGGCATGACATAAGGGACAGGTGACGGGATTGCGCTCGCGGGGGACACTTTGTTTCATCTGTGCTCGCTGACACGCCCACCAAATCTCAGTAACTTTGGGCAGACTGCGTGGAGGTCACATAGCTTATTGCACGCACACTTGTAGCAACTTGGTAAGAAACTCTGCAGCCTGATTTGTTGCTTTCTCCCCCTCAACCGAGACAAAGGAGCACGTCAAACTTTATTTCAAACCGCATCAGAACTATGTTACAGTTTTCTGACTCAGTCTGCTCACAGCACATTCAAATAGAGTATTGTTTCTTTAAGATGTTGAATATATTTAAATGTATATTGTCCTGCTAAATGCCGAATTAAAGTAATGACACACTGTTTAACAGACACACAACACGATATTCAAAGTCTGCACATTTGCTCGTAGAAAACTTTCAGCTTGACGTTTTTGAGTGGACTTCGGTGCGAGGGACTCTCCTCCGAGAAGAACATAACGTACTAACATGGGAAATTAGGTCTGGTCCAGTAAAATATCAGAAATAATGAAAGAAAGCACGAGCTATGATTTAATTCTGGTACAATTAGTACGCACGTGATTTGTCGAGGTCCTTTGCAGCTTTTGCAGCTCTCTCCAGCCCAGACGGGTCAAAGTTACTCCACTTGTCCCCGGGTTTTTCTCCCCGAGAGCCGCCTCCTGGTGCACCTCTGGTCCCTTCAGCAGCGGCTGCTGTCTGCTCCTCCAGCGGCGGAGCACCGGAGCCCTTTCCCCAGCCGAAGAGCCACGACATGTTGCCTTGATAGCGTTCAAGCAACAGGCTGTACCTGCTGTACTTTGTTCCAAAGACTCCACTGTGGTGGTCTAACTAGTCCATGCTTATTCTTCTTCTTCTTTCTTTTGTTTAATAGCAGGTGGCCACTATCGTGAAATGTGCATTACCGCCACCTACTAGGCTGGAGTGTGAGCTAGAGTTCCTTTAAGACAGGCATGTCCAAAGTCCGGCCCGAGGTCAGATTGTATATGGCCCGCACCTTCTGTCTTAAAATGCATTGTTTATGGCCCGCCAGCACAGTCAAAACGGAATGAATAAATCATACCAATTCAACATGCAATTCCTCTTTTTACCTCATGGTGGCAGCACCACTCTGTAACTGTCTGACTGTTTGAAATTGGCTCTGACCCTTGACCTGTCATGTTACGGCAAGTAAAAAAAAGGAAAGTCGATAATGAGGGCCGCCGCTTCCAGGAGAGGTGGAGGTCGCAATATTTTTTTCACCGAAAACCGAAACAACTGTGTCTGCCTAATTAGTCATGAGACTGTTGCCTTGTTTAAGGAATATAATGTAAAGAGACACTACGAGACCAAACATGCTAATGCTACAACAAGCTATCAGAGCGACCGAGCTAGAA